TAAATCTAGCTTTCATATATAAAAGAAAATGTGCATCCTTTGTCTCTCTGGGCCTGACTTCTTTTAATATCACATGAATGCTCAGATTCCCAACAAGCACAAAATCATTCACTCATGAACCTTGTTGAGTGATTCCACTGGGGGTGGAAAATGGAGATTTATCTAATTTAATCATTCCTTCCTCTGTTAGGAGATGGCACTCGCTGTATAGAGCTTTAGAGAATTTAAAATTTTATTTTATATGTTGATGTAGTAAGAAATCTCTTCATTGAGTAACCAATTCAAGTAGAGTTTTGTGTAATGTTAATGCGACATGAAGTTGTATGTCTGAAGAACTCTAGCAGGAATTTGGAGGTTGTCACTGAGAATGTGAAAAAATGGCAGCCAATTTCTACTTTTTTAAATGATCAGCATAAAATGTTTTATCTACATCTAGTATAGTCATATTTGCAACATTAGTTTATAGTTATTGCTTTTTAATTGTTTCCAGTATCTCAACATCTGGGCCTTTTCATCAATAATTCCATCTTGAAATAATTCTATTTAGAAAAAGCATAGAGGCCTGTTTTCTCAAGTCTGTATGGGGGAATGATATATACAACAAGAAACTACTCTCACAAACTATAGTCACAAGGTGGCATCTTCTTCCTATCATGGTTTCCTAAAGCCACTTTTTTTTTATTAGAAAAAAAGGTGACGGTAGAAAGCCATTGTTGAAATCAGTACTTTCTGGAATCTGCACTGGTCAATTCATGAGGCAGGTGGCACATGTGACTTTAAATTGTAAGTTATCAAAACTGAAACTGCAATGTATTAGTCATACTAGCTACATTCTGGGTACTCAGTGGCCACATGTGTATTGTGGGGACCATACTGCACAGTTCAGGCAGAGAACACTGTCATCACTCCTCAAAGGTCTCTGGGACAGTGCACATCTAGAACTACTCTTAGTGTTCCCTAGAGCCAGACTTTACCAGCTTGGAGTGCAATTCAGGTGGCCTTGATTTCATGAGTTTACAAAGTTCTTATTTCTGACTTGGTTTGGAACTATGCCTGTCCACAAGAGCCTAGGATAAATGAATGGATTCCACTGATGCTTCTAGAACTTAACTGAAAACAGTCTGAGTCTAGTATTTGTAAGCATGTAAGCAACTCTTGTTAAACCAAATTTATTTAAATTCTTGTTGAACAGATTTTCTTCCCCTAGCAGAGATGAATGAAGAGAATAGAGGGAGCTACATTTCATGTGTTAACTGTATTGGAGTTTATTTTCTTCCTTTTAGTGCAGAACACCCTTAAGTGTTTCTCCCCTATCTGTAGATCTCCTATTTCATCTGAGCTAATAAAGTCAGATTGTTTTATCATTACTAATGTGGAAGCCACTTACAAGAACTAAGGCATGGGCTGGGAAGTTGGCTCAGTGGTAGAGCGCTTGCCTTGCATGCCTGAGGCCCTGGGTTCGATTCCTCAGCACCACATAAGCAAAAAGAAAAAACCCGG